ACGTCCGCTCCGGCCGCCGGTACGCCGTCAAGATCCTCGACAAGAACAAGATTCTCCATCTCAACTTCTCCGATCAGGTTTTCTCTCCGATCTCTCTCTCTCTGTCTTCTTCTTATTCATTGAACTGAACTGACGCAGTCGGAATCGGAATCGGAATCGGAATCGATTGCAGATTAAGCGGGAAATAAGCACGCTCAAGCTCCTCAAGCATCCGAACGTCGTCAGACTTTACGAGGTTCGTATTCAAATGCGTATACTGAAGCTCGATTCTGTTTTATGGATGAAAAGCGTGCCATGTGGATGTTTTGTGTGCCGCAGGTTTTGGCTAGTAAATCGAAGATTTACTTGGTTCTGGAGTGCGCCTCTGGCGGAGAACTGTTTGATAGAATCGTAAGCGTGTTTTCTGATATTGATTTAATTTGGTTATTGCTTTGATTAGGATCCTCGATTGAAATAGAGATTAGATAACTGCGTGTGTGTGTTTTAGGAATCGAAAGGTAAGCTGGATGAAGCTGAAGGACGGAGACTCTTCCAGCAGCTTATCGATGGGCTCAGCTACTGCCATGACAAAGGAGTTTACCACAGAGATCTCAAGGTATTTGCATATATTTCTCAAGATAATCACTCTTCAGTCTTCATTCCTTTTTACTTAACATTTCTTGCCGGTTAATCCATGTAGCTGGAAAACGTGCTTGTTGATGCTAAGGGAAACATTAAGATTTCTGATTTTGGCCTCAGTGCTTTACCACAGAATTGCAGGGTAATATTATCTGTATATAATATTTATATATATCTACTTTTGAGTTCATCTACATCTAGATCTATATAGGCTGCTTCATTAGTAGTTGAAGAACTATAATTAATGAATAGTTTACGACATTAGGAAGATGGTCTGTTGCACACCACCTGTGGAAGTCCCAACTATGTTGCACCAGAGGTGCTTGCTAATAGAGGATACGAAGGAGCCGCCTCGGATATATGGTCATGTGGGGTTATCTTGTATGTTATTCTGACGGCTTGTCTTCCTTTTGACGAGACCAATTTGGCTCTTCTTTACAAAAAGGTATGTAAACCCGAGGTTTGAAAAGAAGAAAATAACTCATCTTCTTTCGATATATCCCAGATAAAACTTAAGTGCTTATCGGTAAATAGGTACTTCCTGCTTACCACCATTCAAAAATGGCCAACTAAAAGAGATGAAATGCATAAAGAATGAGAGAGAAAATAGAATAAATAGCTGTCGATTTTTTAACAATGAAAAGTAGAACGATACCTATTCACTCGTGAGCACCTAAGTTTTATCCCTTCCTCCCTCTTTTTCTCTCTCCCCTTTAGAAAACATATTTATATGCATGAACGTTGGATGTAGACTTTGAGGGGGGATTTTCAGATACCCAAATGGTTATCAGCAGGTGCCAGAAATTTGATAAGGAGAACTCTTGACCCCAATCCCAATACTCGGATTACAATGGCAGGAATTAAGGAGGATGAGTGGTTCAAGACCGAGTATAATCCTGCTTCTCCTTGTTATGATGATGAGGAGGGTCCATTCATTGATGAGGATGATGCCATCTCAACGCATGATGAGGTATATTTAGAGAGACAGAAATCTAGCTATATTTCTTCTCCCTTCTGCGTTGATGTGTTGTTTAACTGATGGGATTTTGGATTTTATCTTTTGCGTAGCCATCTGACGTGGAAAACAGTCCAAAGTCTCCCTCTACCATTAATGCGTTCGAGTTAATTGGAATGTCTTCAAGTTTGGATCTATCTGGCTTCTTTGAGAAAGAGGTGAGCGAGAGTGAAGTGCAGGACTATGCAATCTGTGGCTTGTTTGCTTGTTTTAAACTCTCCTTTGATTACTCAACATTCTAATTTGAATTATCACAGGACGTTTCTGAGAGGAAGATCAGGTTTACATCCAACCATTCTGCCAAGGACTTGCTTGGGAGAATCGAGGTTATCGCAACTGATATGGGATTTCGAGTCCAAAAGAAAAGCGGAAAGGTTAGTAATCAGTTATTAGCATTGAAAGAATCTGGTAGATGTCAATATCGCTATCTCCATTCCATTGAAATGGATTGGTAAGAGAGGAGCTGTAGGCCATCGTTTGTCCACCATTTTAAATGACAAACGACACCTCAAATTTGTGACCCTTACCGTTAAGTTACAAAATAACATGACATTTTTCTTTCTTGCTACATGACTGTAACGTACCTTTCATGTTCCCCATCTTCAGTTGAAAGTGATGCAAGAGATGAGAAGTCAAAGAAGCCTAAGTAATCTCTCATTTGAAGCTGAGGTAAAAGTTTCTTGAGAGTGTGTTTGGAAGTGACGGTAGAATGAATAATTATGAAAAAAATAATTACAAATATAATTGATTTTTCAAAATCACCATCTAAGTGATATCTTAAAAATAAATTTAAAATGATTTTAAACTTTCTTCAGATCAATTTTTTAATTTGCCAAACATGATCAATGACAAAGGAAATGATTTTGACAATGGAAAAGTGATTTTGGCACTCCCAAACACACCCATATAAATTTCATTGAAACCCGATACCTTTTATTGCCCTCATTACCAAAATCTACTGAATTATGCTCACAGGTCTTTGAGATAAGCCCATTGCTTCAGGTGGTTGAACTGAAAAAATCTTTTGGAGAGTCATCAGCTTACAGACAGGTACACATTTAGTAGCACAAGGCAGGAAGTAGCAAGTTTTATATTAGATTCCAATAACTTGTGCGCTGCTAAAGAAGCAGCCTTTTACATTTTCAAACGTCTAACATTCAATTCAATTCAAAATTGCAGCTGTGTGAAAGGCTGGCAAACGATTTGGGCGCAAACCCGGAGCTCAAAGGGCATAGTCCAAGTTCATTCACATTGAACAGTACATGTTAGAAGCAATTGCTGTGCAGTTATGGGACTTTTATTATTATTATTATTACATAATTTGGGTTTGTATTAAGGCTTTTGATTGGTGCATCAGTGGGTTTAAATGTAGATAATAGATAGGGCCAAATATTACATGGCCAGTAAGTAGCCTGCTTTGTATCCCCTTGTATGTAACACACCACATCAGATGTAATAGAACAGAAGTTCATTTGTATGTAAGAAGCTTGAGAAAAGAATCATTAAACACAAATCTAAACAAATTTGATATGCTTGAATCTTATATGAGGCTTTTTTTTTTTCTCTCTTCTTTGAAAGGCAACCCACGAAAGAGCTATGTAAAATCATTGCCAAAGCAAGCCCACCTCGAGTTAGACTCGACAGCCTGCAAGCATCACCATCTTGCAAGCACGTTGGGGTGTGGGTGGCACCGACAATGGGCATCGCACATTCCGATGACCGTGGGATGAAGAGGAACACCGCAACATCCCACGCCCAATGAGGCTCATACCGAGTGCATGTGGCACCCGAGCCCACCCCATCGAGCATGGTTCGCCGCTGTGCCGCCCGCCATCAGGCCCATGAGAGGCGCATGGTGCTTGAATCTTATCCGAGTTCTTACCATCCAAAAGTACATTTTCTGATGCACAGGAATGAGCTTTTCTTTTCAACAGTATAGACAATTTATTCACAATCATGAAGTGTAGATATGTAACTCGAAAGAAACTTGAGTTTCCTACCTACAGTCCAATAAATAGGGGTCTGAGTCTACATGGCAAGCCGATTGCCAAGCTCTTCGCTGTAGACTTGAATCATACCATTGTCGCCGTCCTCGTTTTGGAGCTTATGGTTGAGGATGGTCTTGTACTGATCATCTCTGTTTTCCAAGCTGCGTATGAATTCAACCTGAGAACAAAAATTTGTAATTTATCTCATTTATGACCAAATAGTGAAAAAACATGTAACATATATAATCACAACTAGGTTAGAGCATAGCTTTTGTTAGGCCTCCCATCGTGAAGACTTATCATAGGAAGGGTAGAAAGGGAATTGTACTAGGTACAATAGAATGATGGGGGAATAAAGAGGCTAACGGTTTGGGGTAGTGGTGGGACCCATTAGCTGGTGGGACCTAAATCGTGTAATAGGGCAACGTGCAGTAGAAAAGGGTAGGAAAAGGTAGGAGGAGATCATCCTAGTTTTGAGTGCTGTGAAAAGGTTAGGGAGAGAATACCCACCCTCTCGAATAGGTGGGTCGGCTTTGTATTGCCCAAGGGCATTTGATTCTACGTTTTAATACCAAAAAGTGAGGCTGATCCTCACAAATTGGAATCAGAGCAGATCGATACCTGGGAAGAAGAAGAAGACGTAAGGATGACTGTGAAGGAACTGGAATCCCGTTGCGAAGCGACCGAGAGAGAGATTGTCGATCTCAAGGTGGTGATGGCAACACTGTGTGGAAAGGTAGATGAACAACAGAAGACGACAGATAAAATCCAAGCGATGTTGGAAGGTTTCATCGCAGACGTCACCGGTGTTACTGTTTCATCGATATCGCAGTTGGGAGAGTCGTCGACGCAAAAAGATAAACAGACAGCAGAGGCGACGAGGATTATCCAAATCCAAGAAAACGGGTATGATCGAAATAAATTCAAGAAGGTGGAGATGCCAATCTTCACGGGTCCGGACCCGGATTCCTGGCTTTTTCGGGCTGAGAGGTATTTTGAGATTCACAAGCTATCAGAGGAGGAGAAGCATATAGTGTTCGTGATCAGTTTCGACGGGGTAGCCCTCGCGTGGTACCGTTATCATGAAAAGAGGAACAGGTTCACCAGCTGGGAAAATTTGAGGATACGGTTATTGTTGCGATTTCGGAAATCCAAAGAGAAACGACAGTGTGCGCGGGTGTTGGCGATTAAACAGGAAGGAACCATTTCGGAGTATATAGAGCTTTTCGAAGCTCTTTCGGCGCCACTTCCACACCTTACAGACGAGGTATTGGAGTGT